CACTGGTCCTGAAATTCTCCAGCCTGTCTGACCATGTACCTGCCACTCACTTCGCTAATACACCCTTGATGTGAAGTTGTTTGTAACTAGACTCTCACCAGAGCCAAGAACATGTTTGTGCCATGTTCTTAAACTCCAGAAATATGAACTAAAATGGCCTTTTAAATTGTATTATTTCATCTCTGGCATTTTGTTATATAATAAAATAAAATGGGTAAAGTACTGCCTCGTACCATGATTTCCAAATACTTCTTCCAATGTCTTCCCTGTGACTCTCTTGTCTTCTTTGATGCCCAAAGGTTTGAAATTTTGACAGATATAAAGTCACCTACTTTCATTGCAGTAAATTTCACATTATTTCTGAAGCAAATCATGTAAGAATCATTACCCAGTCCACCATCACGAAGTCATCCATTGATCTTCTACTGAGATTTTGAATTTTAGTTTTACTTTGTGATCCTCAATACATTTGGAGCTCATTTTTGTGGCATATGATAAAGTAAGAATTCAACTTTACATGTGGATGTTTCTTTTTCTCAACACTAATTGTTCCAGTAGAAATGTTTCTTTCCCATACTGAATGGTCATAACACCTTTGCTAAAGATTGCTTGACCACACGGGTGAATCTGTTCCTGTACTCTCTTTCATTTCAGGTATGCATCGTTCTTTGTACCAATACCACACTGTTTTATCGAAATAGCTTTGAAGTAGAGTTTGAAGTCAGAAACTGGAAGTCTTTTAACTGCGTTCTTAGCAAGATCATTTTAGCTACTTGAGACTCCTTGACAATCATGTGAGTTTTAGAATGGTCATCCCATTTCTGAGAGAAGCATGAGGATTTTGACAGACCACATTGGCTCTGCAGGTCACCTGGTCTAGCAGAGACATCTTAACAGTGGCTTCCAATCCATGACTCTAGGATTCTCTTACCTTCCTCTTTCCTCTTTAATTTCTTGCAGCAGCATCCTGTAGCTCTCGGTCTGCAGACCTCCTTGGTTGAGCTCATTCTGAAGTATTGTATATTTTTGACGCTGTGCTAAATACTGTCTTTTCAGATTGTTGGTTCTTTTGACATAGAGGTCTAGCAGATTATTTGTGTACATTTTATATATTGAAACATTAGTGATTTCATTGTTCTGGTGTTTAGTTTTCTTTAATAAATTTGGGCTTTTTTTCTGCCTTTAAGGTCATGTTGCCTGAGAGCATGCATGCTTTTACCTCTTCCGTTGTGTTTCAGACGTCTGTTACTTCTGTGACTGCGTGATTCCTCTGACTCCTATCCAGTGCTGCAGTGGGTAGAAGTGGAGGCCAGCATCTTTGCCTCCTTCTGATCGTAGAAGGCCTTCTTCCAGTCTGTCCATTAGTTGGGGTGTTCTTCATACTCACCCCACTATGCTGAGGCAGTTTCCATGTAGTCCTTCCTTGTTGAAGGCAGAGAGAGGGAAAGCTTTCATCTGTGCTTTTTCTACATCAGCTGAGAACAAGCCCCCCTATTCTGTTGCTAGGCTAATGTTGTATTACATTTATTAATTTTGATCTGCTAACTTTAAAAAAGAAAATTTGTTGATGAGGCTGAAGAGATGGCTCAGTGGTTAAGAATACACATTACTCTTACAGAGGACCTGAGTTCTGTTCCCAGCAAGCATGTCAGCAACTTGTGACTATCTAAAACTCCAGCTTTGGGGGCAAGGCTAGGGGAGGGGGATCTGGTACCATCTTCTGATCTCCACCAGCACCTTGCTAACATTCAAATACCCTACAAAAACATACACATAATTTTAAACTGGGTTTAATCTTTCTATGCTGGACTGTGTGCGTGCGTGCGTGCGTGCGTGTGTGTGTGTGTGTGTGTATGTGTGTGTGTGTATACCATATGCCTTTGTAGAAGTCAGAGGACAGTCTATTGGAAGAGTCTCTCCTTCCCCTCTGGGATCTCAATGTTGAACGCCGGCTGTCAGACTTGCCTCGCCACAAGCACTCTCATCCTCTGAGCCATATCGCCTTGTTGACTCATTTTCCTCTCACAGAATAAATCTTTCTTGGTCATGAGGTGCCGTTCTTTTAATGTGATTTTAAAGTTAGTTCTATTATAGGTTTTTTTTTTCTAGGCTTTTTTTCCCCTCTAAAATCAGTATTCCTAAGGGATTGGCATTTACTGTTCTATCTTATTCTAAGTGTCTTTGTCTGATTTTATTATCAGGGTACTGTAGCATTTATAGATAAATTAGCACTTATTCCCCATTCTTTAGTTTTCCTGGGAGATTACATTGGTGGTTTTTTTTGTTTTTTTTTTTAAGGATAAACAGAATTCATCCAGTAAGCCATTTGACCAGAGCTTTTGTTGTGGGTAGTTTCTTGGTAAATTATATACTCTTGTTATGAATTCCAGAGTCTCTTCAGATTTCCCATTCAGTCTAGGAAAGATTATATTTCTAGCAGTTTGTAGCATAGTCTCTTAAGGAACGAGTTTGGACAGAAGAGACCTGGTGGCTAGCTGCTATGAGTTCTTGACTTATTTGCTACACTTTGTGTCTCTGGCCAGGGGCAGGTACTGCCCCATGGTTTTCCTACCAATTCGTCTTGCTTCCTCTGTACCTACACAGTAGGTCTCATGGGAAAACAAGCTAATTAACAGAGAACAAGGGCATCCAAGACCTTGAGCTCCCTCAATCCTCATTGAACTTGGCCCTTTCCTTATTAAAGCTTGGTGACTTATTGCTTATATTATACAACCTCTGGACTATGTTTTAAAATCACCCAACTACTTAGCCTGGCCACTGTGCTCATATACCTTGCAAATGTATTCAAGGAATATAGTCCAGGGAAAGAAACACACCTGAGAAGGGGCGCTACAGGAAATTGGAAGGAGCTGTTGTAGGTTCCTTCACTATAAAAAGAAGAAACAAGCAAAGGAAGAGGAGGAAGTGAAGATTCAAGGAGCAAACAGAAAACCACGTGTCATGGGAAGTAAAGGGGGCTAAAGTATATTCTCTAGATCCACCAAATGCCACTGCCACTGCCACTTCTGAGATATCCTCAAGATAAGCAGTATTGTAAGTTCTCTCTTTCAGCCCCTCCACACAGAAAGATAAACTACCCCAAAACAGCATATAGCCAGTAGCAGCAAACTTGATGTGGTTTGAATAGAAACGGCCTCTATAGACTCATGTGTTTGAATGCTATATTCATGGGGAGTGGCACTATTAGGAGGTGTGGCCTTATTGGAGTAGGTGTGCCTTTGTTGGAGGAAGTGAATCACTAGGAGGTGGGTTTTGAGGTCTCAGAAGCTCAAATCAGGTAGTGCTTTTCTTGCTGCCCATAGACCCAGATATAGAACTCTCTACTACCTCTCCAGCTCCATGTCTGCCTGGAGGCCACCATGCTTCCCGCCATGGCGATAATAGATTAAACCTCTGAATGATAAGACAGTCCCAATTCAATTCTTCCTGTATGATAGTTGCTGTGTTCATGTTGTCTCTTCACAGCAATAAAAGCCAAACTAAGACACTTGCTATCTGGAATTTTAAAATATTTGTTCTTGAGATACCAAGCCAAGGACTAATTTATTCTTGTGTCTAAATTTTTTAAATATTAACTTTATTCTCAGAATCTCACTTGCTGACATTGTGCATGTATGAGCTCTGGGGAAATTTATTATCTCTCATAACTCTGCAAATTATGAATGTGCTTAGCTAAATACAATATTTTACTTTCACTCACTTAATTATCTTCCCATTTTAAGCATTTTGTTTGACTAAGTAAATATATCCTTATTAAGAAACAATTTTCTCAGTGGGGAAAAGAATTTCAAGACATTGGCCTCAGCAAGGACTTCTGAAGTGCCATCTAGTCACTCAGGAAAGAGTGACAACTGACAAATGAGATTTTAAGAAAGGAACAAGTTTCTACACAACAAAGGAAACAATTGAGTAAAAGCATTCAGCAAAGCAGGAGGGTCCATCCCCAGCTATAAAGGAGAGGATTAATATCTAGAATAAATGAAGAACTCAGAAAGTAACAAACAGCATAATAAAGGAACTAATGGAATAAGCAGAGGAGTTACAGTGAGATAAAACTCTCCAGCTTTCAATAAATCTGAAAAAGAACATTTCAACCACACTAGGCACCAGAGAAATGCTAATTAAATGACACTGAGATCCTATGACTCCTGTCAGAAAACAAATAGCAACAAGTGCTGGTGATGGCTCACAAAGGTGAGCCATCCTGCACCACTGGAGGAAACCTAAGACAAAAGTCACTACAGAGATCGATATGAAGGTTCCACCAAACACTGAAAATAGGTCTTCCGTGTGACCCATCTATACCATTTGGGTATTTACCCAGAGGACTTCAAGACACCACCTCACAGAGATACTTGTCCCTCAGTGCTTACTGCAGCACTATTCACAAGAGCTGAGTCATGGGACCAACCTAGGCTTCCTGCAACAGAAGAATTAGGGTCAAAAATGTGGCTCCTGCAAAAAGGAATTTTTTCAGCCATTAAAACCAGTCAAAAGCATGTTGTTGGAAAGAAAATGGGTGAAACTGGAGATAAGTTTATGAGACAAATCCATCTCAGGAAAATAAGTGCCATATTTTTTTCTCCTTTGTGGTTCTTGGATTTTATATAGATATTTATAATCATATGTATATAAATATGCCAGGAAAATAGAAGCTGACCTTTCCTGGCAGATACATCTAACCTGTGACTTATGGACTGAATAGCCAAGGATAACTATGAATGTGTCCCAGCACAAAGTCATGTTGGTCAGACATTAGAATGGGGACAAAAAGGAAAGGCCCATATATATGGATGAGAGTAACCACACCTATCACTCCATCTTTAATGTAAAAGTTTGGGGGCTGTGTTGCAATTTTACAACCTGAATAGAGCACTGTGCCAGTCATGTGCCTTGCAGAAGAGATGGCAGTAACACTTGGTTGGGAGTTGAGGCATAATTGCACTCACAGTATAACTGTTATCATCCTAATCCAACAGGAGAGATATGCTGTCCCGATGAGAGGCACAACCGGGTGTCTGTCGGCATCGGTGATGCCTGCTGTGGCACAATGCCTTATGCCACCTCTGGGAGTCAGGTATGCTGTGCTGGGAGGCTCCAGGATGGCTACAGACGGCAGTGCTGTGGGGGAGAGATGGTGAGCCAAGATTTCAAGTGCTGTGGTGGAGGAGAAGTCGGCATGGTATACAGTTACCTCCCAGGTAAGGCCCCTTGTTTGTCCTACAGGATGTGGAGAGGTGACGATGGCCAGGGAGGAGGAGGGATGTGCCCTAGAAAATAAATAAATAATTGACACCTATATGAATTAAATCTAATGAAACAAATAGAAATATATTACATAACAGTTAAAACCTTTTTTTTTTTAAGTATATCTAGTCTACTTCATAAAACACACCAGAGTTCTTTCTTTGGAGCTGGGGAAGTGGTTTGGTGGTGAAGAGCACTCGGTGCTCCTACAAAGAGCCCAGGTTCGGTTCTTAGCACCTTACTGTGGGGCTCACACTCACCTGTAACTCGAGTGTCAGTAGACCAGATGCCCTCTTCTGGTCTCCATGGGCAGTGCAGCCTCAGACAATCATACACATACATTTTTGAAAAAAATCATTTTTTAAAAAACTTTCTTTATGAATGTTAACACCTCCCAAAAATACTAAATCAAAACAAACTCCTGCATAAATGTATTTTTTGTATCAGAAGGATGTTTTCTAATAAGTGCTAATAGAAGACAAAATAATTAAAGTGACATCGAGATATTAATCTTCTACTTTTTTGTTCTCCTATTTCTAATATTATTGAGAGTATATATTCTAATATTAATATTAAATTAATTTACTGATAACGATATTAATAGCGAGCATTACCACTGGATAAGACCTTATTACCAAGCATAGTATCTGTTCTTATATACATAGATGCTGAAGTTAATCTTTATAGCTACTCCACAAATACATATTTTTCTATTTGTATCTTACAGCTTAGGAAAGGTGCATGAGCCCATAATTCAGTGATAAAGCACGTGCTAGGATATGTGAGGCCCTGAGTTTGATTCTTGGCACCACAAAACAATAACAATATTAAGATTAATGTAGACATTGGGATGTGAGCATTAGAGACCTACCAGAAATCACACAGGTGATCAGAGTCGAGCTTGGGTAGACTAGACTTGTAGTCTGAAGGGGTGAAGGAAAGGAACAAAATTCAAAATGAATATCTATTCATGATAAGAAAATAAATTATAAATGTAAAAGAAGTCTGGGAAACTTAGCTTATATAATCTAATGTGATGTGTGTGTGTATACATGCATGCACATATGTGCACATGTGTATGTGTGTGCTTATGTATATGTGTGTATTTGCATGTGTGCATTAGTGTGTACATGTATGTTAGCATGTGTGAGTGTATGTGTGTGTGCATCTTGTGTATCTGTGTATATGTGCCTATGTGTTTGTATGCATGTGTGTGAATGTGTGTGTGTATCTGTGTATGTGTATGCTGTATGTACCCATGTGTACCCATGCAGAGGTCTGATGAGGTCTGTTGTCTTGCTCTGTCACACTCTGCCTTCTGACTGTGAGACTGAGTCTCTCACCAAACCTGGAACTATGCTGGTAGCCAGTTCCAGCCATCCTCTAGTCTTGAGCATCCATCATGCTGGAGTTACAGGTGTGTGTTCAACTATGCTGAACTTTTACCTGGGCTCCAGGGATTTGAATGCACTTCCGCACACTTGTGCAGCAAGCACTCTTACCCACAGAATCATCTCTCCAGTGTCCACACAGTTTTTAAAATATCTGTATCCCATAATTCCTGGCATCCATCACCATGATTCATGTATGTCATTCATTACCTGTCCAGCCGACCCTGGCACTTTAGCAGATTTTTATTGCAGTTCAGCTTTTCCCTCTCATGTGGTTGATCGCAATATCACAATTTCTTTTTTAAATTGGTTGAAGTTTCAAAATGTGGTTTTAAGTACCCCAGCTCATTATTATGCTTCATAAATAGGTAGGATAACTGTCAGATTTGGGGAAATCTCTACCAAGGATCAGAGTATTTCAGATTTTCTTCTCTGAAAGTGCTCTGTGGTGACTCTCCTTATCTGTGGAGCTGACTGTATTAACTGTATTCAGTGGGTAGTGTCTGTCTAAGCCAGCAGTTGTCAAGTTTGTGGGTTATGACCCCTTTGGGGGTCAAAGAACTCTTTTACAGGGGTCACATATCATATATTCTACATATCATATATTGACATTACAATTCATAACAGCAGCAAAATTACAGTTATGAAGTAGCAATAAAAATAATTTTAAGATTGGTGGTCACCACAACATGAGGGACTGTATTAAAGGGTCATAGCATCAGGAAGGTTGAGAACCACTGGTCTAAACTATAATTCTCTCTACTTGACTTGTGTTAGCATCAATGTCACCAGCCCATCTGCAAATCAGCAAACCTTAGTTTTATCTGGTTATCGTATTTTGGATACATGATTCAAGTGTTTCATTTCAGTATCACTACTTTGGGAATGGTCTGAAATTCACTTCAATTCTCCACTTGATGCCAGAAGTATTTTAATTAGGTACATATTTTCATGTTTTGCATGTGTATGCATGCCCCCATGTGTAGGGGTGGATGTGCATAAATTCATATATGCTGAGGCCAGAAGACAGTTGTGGAAATTATTCCTCAGATGCAGTCCACCGTCTTTCCTGAAACAGGATCTCTTACTGGCCTGAAACTTTATGCATAGGCTAGGTTCATGGCTAGTGAGCCCCAGGGATCTGTCTGACCTTATTCTTCAATGCCAGGACTCCTGTTAAACCTGGAGGTGGGGAGAACATTTCTATGACGATCTGATTAGGACAAGCTGTGTTTTTAAGTGCACAGGGGACCCTAAGTCGGGGTGTCAGAGAGCACCCCCCTCACTGGCTTTTGAGGTCCCTTTTATGGGGAAGAGTTAGTTAGGGCTGATAGAAAAGAGCTGTTGAGATGATCAGCTGTTAGCACCAGGACAGAAGAGTGGGGAGCTCAGGGCTCAAGGCTGCCGGTGGGTAGATACAGCAAGAATACATCATGTGGAAGGGCCGTCATCACAGGTGTACAGGAGTTTAGCAAGACAAAGGGATGGGTATACGGCATGGGGTTATGATTCAGCAGAGGCAGAAAGACATAGTTTGCAGCATACATTAGGCTTTGGAAACAAACTTACTCTTATAAAGTATGGAGACTTAGTAACGATGTATAACAATGTATAACAATGTATAACAATGAACAACAATGTGGCTCCTGTTTTGGTTCCACACCACAAGCGTGTGCCACTATGCCCAGCTTTTCAACATGACTTCTAAGGGGCAGACTCAGGTCTTGTACTTACAAAGCAAACATTTTACCTGCTAAAGGCATCTCTTTTCCCTCCATTTATTTTCATTTTCTCCACATTTATCTAATATTTTTCGTTTAAATCTTTCCTTCATTGAACCTCATTTAGTAGTCTATGAATTTTTACATCCTGTCTCTCCCTAAATTGTCACATTCGTGTATGTTTCAGACTTAGCAGCTTTTTACAGGACCTGTAGGTCATCTGTGAGAGTGAAACTGTTTTCATAATAATACTAAGCCAATGTATACATTCAGATTTTATTATATGTATTTGTTTATTTATCTGTGTGTGGAGGATCATGGGGACGTATGCTGTGGCTCAAGTGTGGAAATCAGAGCTCAGTCTGTGGGAGTCAGTTCCCTTCTTATATCTTGAAGGTCCCAGGCAATGAGTTCAGGTCGTCAGGTTTGGACACAAGCACCTTTACCCACTGGATCATCTAAGCCACCCCACATCACCCCACCTTGGGTGTCTAGCAGCCTTTTCCAGGTACTCTGTGCTATGTGTTACTGCAGCAGGGAGAAGCTGAGGGAAGAATTCAGTTGCTGCTTGTGACACTAGACCTTAAACTGGCCTGCAAAAAAAAGGGTAAGAGAATGTCATTCTCACAAATTTGGCAAAATGTATTTATGCCTCAGAAAGGTATCTTTATATTTGTTTATTGTTATTTTTTTTGGATTTGATTCTAGGGTAGAACACATACATCTACTGCTTTAACCCACATAAGCAAAGGTTGTTTTGCTTTGAGTTTTGTTTTGATTTGGTTGGGTTCGTTCAAGACAGGATTTCATTCTGTAGCCCAAGATGACCTTGAATTTCTGATCCTCCTGCCTCAGCCTTCCAAGTGCTGGGTTTGCCAGTCTATGTCATTAATCAGGCAGGTAGGTTTTTTCTTTCTTCTTCTTTTCTTCATTAGTCAACTGCCATATCCTTTCATTCAACAAACAAGAATGTACTGAGTCTATACTCAAGATCGTTCTTTCAGGTATAAAATTACTAGAATTTTTTCCGCTCTCCCCAGTTTCTAGATCATCTAGGAACATCATCGTCTGTGAGGCTGTGAAATGCACCCTTCTTCTTCCCTCTCATTTCAATTTTTGCTGCTGTGTCTTAATTGTGAAAGCTAATGAGTTTCATTATGACTTTCTCACCCATGCATGGCTTTGACCATCCTGCTCACCAACCCCCGCCCCCACCCCCTTTCTCCAACAGTCTAATGCACACACATTTTTTAAACTGAGAGATCATTGTATTAAGTGGATGAAGAGAGCTAAGTCTGCGTTGCATCATTGTGTTGTGTCAGAATCCTGAACACTGAGTCAGAACTCTAGTGAGGCAGCTTGGCCTGGTGGGGAATGGATACCCACGTAGAAGCTCACACTTTGGCTTCTGAGAGCTGTATCATCTACACAAGGAAATAGAGGGAGACAGGTTTGAGCCAGCCTGGGATTTAGTCAGTGCTCTCAAAAGAGTGAATGTGATTGTCTTAACTCTGATTTTAAAAGGCTAGTTGAATTTGGATGGCAGAAAAAAATGCGGAGACTGAAAGAGAAGACAGAGCCAAATGCTAGAAAGGAAAACAGGGTAAAGGTCACTGCCCTCCAGGACAGATTCTTAGCCTTCCAGAGAATGCTTTCCATGTTATGAACTCTAATCTTCAGTTAAAATGCATCAAAACACACTCACACATACATGTGCATGCACGAGTACACACCCACACAAGCACACATGTAAAGTGCCTGCTGTCTTTACACCCATGAAGTCTATCTATAGGCCAAGTTTCAGAACCACCCTCTTCTTCAGTATGATGATGACAAATAACC